TCTTGGATGTGTGTGATTCATAACTATTGGATGTGCAGTAGGGCGCCATTGCGAAGCAGTGGATGGTGCAAATGGAGACGTTTGTTGAAGAACAAAGATGGAGTTTGCACCGACATTGAAAGAGGGACATCGCTGTACACTATGCCTTTGAGATCCACATGCGTGGCATTAACTCAGGGTAGGCCGAAAACGAGGCCGTGCTATAACAAAGTAACAAAAAAAAAACAATTGTCTCACTTCATAAAATAAATATTAAAACCTCAACTTTTAAATTTTTACTTATTTGAATAGGTAAAAAACGTCTATTGCTCATAATATTATCCAGGTATTAGGAGCAAACATCGGCACTACTCTGGCCATTCAATAGCTCAACCACTCTTAGGATAATACGTTCCCCACGAAAGTCATATTGACCGTCGTATTGACATCCACTCGTGCTTATCTAAAGCAACAGAGCAGAATCTCGACTTCCGGGATGGAAGATAGAAATCAGAACTTATGAAAGAAGTTTGAAGGTCTGGAAAACTAAAGGACTTAGAAAGACATTTTAGAGAGAGAACTTAGAGAGGGCTTTTTAATGTTTTCCAAACTTGATATTTTACAATGGGGGTACACACATATTTATAGGTGAGGATGAGTGCGCTGACATAAACGCTTACCTCAGCAATGACATCATTGCTTACATCATGCTTACATACAATGGGGGTACACACATATTTATAGGTGAGGATGAGTGCGCTGACATAAACGCTTACCTCAGCAATGACATCATTGCTTACATCATGCTTACATAAGCAGCGATTACATCATCGCTTACATCATGCTTACATAATTATTTATTTTACATTGTAAACACACTTAAAAACACACTTAAAAATAGCTTACTTAGTGGTTCATTTCGAACTTGATGACGTGTTTGTCGCAGCAGCCATAATGATCGTTTGGGCATTCGTATTCTATTTCTGGTTCTTCGTAAGGCTTCTGCGAATCTTCGTTGACATTGATGCCAAACATTTGGCCAATTTCGTCAATACTCATCGAATCATCGGGAATTTGAGCATCTTGGAAGTGTTCTGGATAGTATTCTTGAGACGGTGATCCTTGCTTAGTTATCTTCGGTAACTCGGGGAAGTTTGGCGTTTTTTCCATATTTTCCATGAAGAACTGTAGGTCTTCGTCCAGGCTCATCTGATAATCAACCGGATAGTAAGTCCAATTTGGGATGAAGGATACCGGAAAAGTTTGCCTAGCATTGTTGAGGCGAAACGCGTGAGTCTGAAAATCCTCGTATGCCTTGTTGTCATTAATATTGAAATCAGGACGAACACCTCGATGATAGTCGTTGTGATGAATGAGAGTCGGGAGCGCGTGGATTTTTCCTGACTTAGTGTTGACTTGGACGGACCGATGGAAAAAGTAGATCGTGTGAGGGTTAAAAAAGGGATTAAGACCTCCTTGACCTTTTAACTTCTTGAATGGTAGGCTTATTGCTTTTGCTGATCTTCACAACTTTCCGCTCCAAACGGGTAGGGGTGCAAACCATGTTAAGAATGTTAAAAAACATTCCTGGTGACCTTGTTGAGCGTTGATGTATTGATATAGCCATTTTATATCAAAAGTGATACCTACGGTGTAAACCGAGTAGAGGTACCAAAAAAACAGAGGACTTCTTCAGGCATGTTGGCGTTTTCGACCCTGTAGAGATGTGCGAATGGATAGTCTGGGTGAATGCCTAATGGTGAGATTTGATGACTGTTGATTCCGTATCTTGATAGAATGATGGATTGGTAGTAGAAAATTTTATCGTTAAGATGCTCGTGTAGAGCTTTCCTGTTGATAAGCTGATGAGCGTCTTCTGGCATGTTGGAGGCGAAGTCGTAGTAACGTTTTGTAGAAGAGCTTGCAGAAGAGTTTGCCATCATTTATATTTCCTTTACTGGGTTTCTACTGAGCATATCAGCAAGAGTATTATTCGTGTCCTTTAAATAGAAGGACTCGAAATCATACTTTGAGAACCATTCGCTCCATCGTAACAACTGCTGATGTGGGACCATCTTTTGCTTGAATTGTAGCATCTTCGGAAAAGATGACATATCCATTTCGATGCGAAATTTATTTCCAATCAGATGGAACTCGAACTTCTTGATAGCCCTTTTGACTGCTAGGATTTCTTTGAACGTGGAGTGATAATGGAACTCAGAATCTTTGAAGCGTCCACTCTTGTATCCACAGATTTGACATTTTCCATTTATTTCTTCAAATAAAATGGCTCCCCAATATTTATCACTCGCGTCGGTCTGCAAAATGCGTGTTCCTGTTGAAGGAACCTTTAAAGGTGGTAGCTTCTGTACCTCTACCTTTAGACTTTTGACAGCCTCAGTTTGTCGTTTTGTCCATTGGGGTGGATTCTTTGTCAGTATTTTCTGTAGCGGTCTTGTCAGCTGTGAAAGTTGCGGGATAAAGTCGCTAACGTAATTAATTACGCCAAGGAATTGCTGAACTTATCGCCTTGTGAGATTTTTATCAGGAAAATCTAAAAGTGTTGTAGCAAGATGGACTTGTGGTATAAAATTACTGTTTGCAATCTAAACAACCACATAGAGGACGCCATATTGACTAAATCAAACATATCACTTAGAGCATCCATATCGATGGAATCTCTCAAATTACTATATAGTGTATATAATATTAATATTTTAATAAATATGAGTTATTTAATTAAAAATTTAATTTGTTTTAAATAATTGAACTAATTATAAAACATACATGTGTTATGAGAGTTTCTCATGGATTTCTCATTTTTCAAAACCTTAACTATCTCTCCTACTTTTTCTACGGATGGAGATGTTTTCATTGTCCCAACATTTTTTTTATTGTTGTATGATTACTTTTTTTTTTTTCAGATTATTTTATAGCATGGTTTTCTTAAGTCTTAACCCACTTAATTTTATATTTTCTGCAATACTAGATAAATTTATAGTTTTATACTTACATTTAATCTATTCAAATTAATAAAAATGATGAGCATATTCATACAATCTGATAAATAGTGTTTTAATATAATACATTTATTAATTGATTTTGATATAATAAACCAATTATTACAAAACAATATCGCACATACTTTAGCTGTTATATTTAATAATACTTTGTAA